CTTTTTGCTTTTTGCTTTTTGCTTTTGCTCAACCAAAAGCAAAAAAAAAAAAAAAAAAAAAAAAAAAAAAAAAAAAAAAAAAACAAAACAAAACAAAAAAAAAACAAAAACCCAAACCAAAAAACCACAAAAAAAACCCAAAAAAAACCCCCAAAAAACCCCCAAAAAACCCTAAAAACCAAAAACCCAAAAAACCCAGAAAAAAAAACAGAAAAAAAACCAGACCCCCCAAAAAACCCCAAAAATCCAAAAAAGCTCCCCCAAAAAACCAAACCAAACCAAAAAAAACCCACCAAAATACGCCCCAAAACAAAACTTAAAACACCCCCAAAAAACCAAACTCCCCAACAAAACAAAACAAAACAGAACAAAAAACTCCAAACTAAGAAACCCCAAAACCAAAATAAAACCAGAAAAAAAATAACCAAAACCCCTCAAAAAAACCAAAAACCCCAATAAAATTCAAAAGCAAACAAAAAAACCCAAACAAAGCAAAACAAAAAAGAACAAAAAAAAAACCCAACAAAACCCCCCAAAAAGCCAAACCAAACAAAAAAAAAACCCCAAAACCCCAAAAGCAAACAAAGCAAAAAACACCCCCAAAATTAAAAAAAAACAACAAAAAACCCAACCCCCCCAAAAAAACCAAAAATCCAAACCCCCCCAAAAAACAAAACCAAACCAAAAAGAAAACCCCCAAAACCCCCAAAACAATACTCAAAATACCCCAAAAAACCAAACCAACCCCCCAACAAAACAAAAAAGAACAAAAAACTCCAAAGAAACCTCAAAACCAAAACAAAAAAAAACCCTAAACCCCTCAAAAAAACAAAAACCTCAATAAAACGCAAAAGCAAACAAAAAACCCCAAAGTGAAACAAAAGAGAACAACAACAACAAAAAAAAAACCAAACAAAATGACCAAATCAACAAACAAACAAAAACAAAAACAAAACAAAACCAAAACCAAAATAAAAAACAAACAACAAAAACAAACAACAAAAACAAACAACAAAAACAAACAACAAAAAAAACTTTAAAAACTAAAAAAAACCAACCAAACAAAAAAAATCCAAAAACGAAAAAAAAACCTAATAAATTAAAAAAAAAAAAAAACCAAAAAAACCGAAAACCGTTCTAAGGAGTGAAAAGCCCGGGGTACCCCAAGGTGAGGGTTCCCCATCCTTGTGCCCCGACCCCTGCTGGATTTACAATAACGTGCCAATATCTGTCACCTACGTTGGACAGTGTGTCCCCAGCCTGAACCAACAGAAAAATGCCAACACCACAGTGAAACATGGAGGGCATGAAGAAGGAGAAAAAGGACAAGGCACACCCAATTTCCTCCATCTTGTCTCCTTTGGACCCCTCATCTAGAATCCTAACATTTTACTTTTGCACCCATGCCACACTTAATTATTACTCTTATCAAACACTCAGAGCTTGTAATTCATCCTGTAAGATTGAAAACTCTTCTCCATGGACAGAGATCACAGCCAGTGTCTCTGGGGGCTCTGTCCAGGGGGGTTCCTGACCCCTGCCAGGGTCCCAGGGCAGCCAGAGGGAAGCTCTGGATTCCCACATTTTGCTCCATCCGGGAATGTCCAGCAGGAGCTGCCAAAGCCTCAATTCCCGGCCAGCACATCCCTCCAAACCCCTCCTGGCCTCTAAATCAGGTTTTTCAGCCACCAGGACAAACACTGAGCCGCAGGAAGAAAATCCCGTGTTCCTGACAAAGAACAGCAGCGGCTCTTTGGGAAAAGCCAAGCTTGGAAAAAAACTTAATTCCCTCCAGCTTCTCCTTGCCAGATTTTGGTGAGGAGCGTCTGCTCTGCTGCTGTGCGGAATCAACAATAGTTTTGGAGGGGAAAAAAACAAAAAAACCCAAACAACTTAAAATTCCTTGTGGATGCTTCAAGTTTTTCCAGCTCCTCATTTGCCTCTGGGTTTTGTGGCTGCTTTTTCTTCCGCTTGGGGTTGTTTTTATTCCGGTTTTTTTAATCCTCCCTCCCTCCTCCTCTGCAGCAGGAATGTGAGCAGCCAGAAGAGGGTCACGTCGGAAGCGTGACGAACGGGGCGGATTCGTCATCCCTGGTGATGAGACTTTCTCCAAATAATTTTCCCCTTCCTCTAATAGCTGCCATTTATGCAAATGAAGCCAAGGAAGAGCTAATTGGGGATTTGATGCAAGCTGGCTGCCCACGCCGGGTGCTCTCCCAGCGGAGATGGAGGAGGGAGGTGAGTCTGTGGTTACATTCCCGGCTGGACACTTATCCCAGCCCCCAGCCTGGCTGGAGGGATCCATCCCTCTTCAGAGAGAAGGATGGGCCCTTGTTGGAACCCTGGATGCTGAGAATTTTAGACTTTCTGTGGTAAAAGGCACAGACCCTCAAGAGAGCAAGAAGAAAAACCAGCCTCCACCCTAAAACCTCCCTCTTGCTCTATATCCATTACTATATTCTAAACCTCAAACTCTCTACAAGGCCTTTTAAGGATAATCTGTCCCATTAAGAAATGACACCTCAATTATTTTCACTTTTAACCCAATAACCAACCACCCATGCCTACATTGTGAACTTCTTTATCCAATTACACAAAACCACCCAAACCCACGTAGATGAAGGTGGAGAAGAAGGAGCAGCCTTCACCCTAAAACCTCCACCTTGCTCTATATCCATTACTATATTCTAAACCTCAAACTCTCTCTGCAAGGCCTTTTAAGGGTAAACTGTCCAATTAAGAAATGACACCTCAATTATTTTCACTTTTAACCCAATAACCAACCACCTGTGGTTCATTAATGTGGACTTTTTTATCCAATTACACAAAACCACTCAAACCCATGGAGATGAAGGTGAAGAAGAAGGATCAGCCTCTACCCTAAAACCTCCACCTTGCTTTAGATATATTACTATATTCTAAACCCTTAAACTCTGAGTTTCCCACCCTGTGATATCACACACTTCTATTCAAACTCCACCCCCACAATCCCAGCTCTGCCATTCCATTATGGAAGCTTCTCCACGGCCTCAGGTCAATGTAGAGTTCTCTTGGGGGTCTGTGCCTTTGAACAGAAAAAGCTTAAAATTCTCAGCACCCAGGGCTCCAGCAGACCCTGTGCTTGGCCATCCTCAGCCTCAGATCCTCCAGCAGCAGGGGGAAGGATCCCAGACCAGGTGAAATCATCCCCTGCCCGCCTGCTCTGACACCCCCAGCCCCACCTGCACTGTGGGGTTCCTCCTGTGCCTCCTCCCACGGCATCAGAGCCACAGTCAGATGGTCCCAAAAAGTCCCTTTTCCATCCCAGAGTTTCCCCATGGAGCAGTGCAAGGTCAGAAGCAGCAGCACCCCGGATCCTTTGGGCTTTCCAGCCCCAGCTGCTGCAACCGGGGGCAGCACCCACCTCCAGGAGGGGCTGGGTTTTGTCACATTTCTTCCTCCTCCTCTTGCCAAGCATTGAATTGCCACTGAACTCGGCCTTCTGGTGGCTGGGAAGGGACTTTCCCGTGGTGGGCGAGCAGCCCAGGAGTGCAGCCTTTCCCCATCCCAGCAGCCGTGGGAGTGTGCGGGGTCACGGCTCTGCCGTCCCCACAGAACCCCACAAGAGCTTGGCTTGGAAGGGATCCCAAAATTCCCACCCCTGCCATGGCAGGGACACCTCCCACCAGCCCAGGCTGCTCCAAGCCCCATCCAGCCTGGCCTGGGACACTTCCAGGGATCCAGGGGCAGCCTCAGCTCCTCCCTGGCATTTGCAGCATCACAGCAGGGATGGCACCGATTGCTCCGGGGATCAGGACAGGCATTGTGCTCCTGGTAAATCAGCTCTCCAGAGGTGCTGGGCTCTCCTGCCCAATCTTCATCCCATCACATCCTCCTTGCCCCGTTCCCTGCTGCCGGGATCCCAGCAGCGCAGGGACCAGAGTGCAGGCTCAACTGAGGAAGGCACTGGGTGTTTTCCAGGAGCTATTTTGGAGGATATCATTCGGATTGCTTCTCAGGGCAGGCTGAATTTCCTCTCCCCCGGGGCCCCAGGCAGGAAGCCGCCTTTGGGTTCACACTCAGCCCTAATGAGGGCAGCACTTCAACACCAGACGTGGGTGAGAGCTGAGCTGCAACGAGTTTTATCTTGATTTCTTCCGGACCCAGGACTTTCCCTTGAGCTGCCACAAACAGTCCCTGCCCTCACTGCTGAAGGAATCACCAGAACTTACATCCCACCACTAAAACCTGCCATGCTGATGTCTGGCCCCTCAAACCTTTCCTGCCCCTGCTGTCATCTTGATACTTCCCTGTGCTTCGTGTACAGTCATCCAGAGTAGCAAAAAGCGGTCTGAGAGCAGACAGGCACGGTTTCATGCTTATTCATCATCACATGCACCCTGCGAGCCGCGGGGCTGCGGTCACAACTGCTTTTCCTGGAAGGAGCTCTGGGGGCTTCTCCCGGAGTTTGCTGGTGGGACAGAGGAGCACTGCCAGGACCTGGGGGGTCAGCAGCACAGGGCACACCGGTGGGATGGGCTGTAGATAGATGTGGCACCTGCTCAGTTTGAATAATATCTTAGAATCCCAGAACTGTTTGGGTTGGAAGGGATCTGAAAGATCATCCCCTTCCCACCCTCCTGCCCTGCAGGGACACTTTCCACAGCATCGAGCTGGCTCAGCCCAGCCCTCAGCCCTGTCACCCCTCCAGGGGCTCGGTCCTCGGACCCTGTTTGGACACAACCCCCCCACCCGTGACCCCCCCACGGCTCAGCCCGTCCCCTTTCGGTCACCCCCCACCCCCGAGGGGCTCAGCTCCATCTCCCTTCCCTCCAGGGTCTCACCATGGAGTCCTCCCCTTCACCCCCAGCACTCACCCGACCCCTTCCCCTCCCTCCCGTGGGAGTCTCGGTTCTCCCGTGGGAGCCGAGGGAATAGGGGCGGGCCGGGCGGCCAGAAGGGGCTGTCCCAGGGGCTGTGCCCGCTTGCACCGCACCTCCTCCTCCTCCTCCTCCTCCTCGCTCTCTCCGCGGCCGGGGCCACCCGTCCCGCCGGGACAATCTCCACCGACAGCCGCGGCTCGGTGCGATCCATCCATCCATCATCCATCCATCCCACCGCATCGCATCCCGCTGCCGTCCATCCATCCATCCATCCATCCATCCATCCCACCGCATCGCATCCCGCTGCGGGACATCCCCCCCGGTGCTTTGCGGAGTTCTGTCGGTTCTATCCCACCCATCGCACCCCGAGCGGAGCGCAGCATCCCCGCGGCCGCTGCCGATGGAGCCCGCGGGTTATCGCTGCCGCAGCAGCCGCTACATCGAGAGCGGCCAGTCGGCCGTGCCCAGCTCGGTGCTGTTCGCCGCCGGCCTTTTGGGGAACGTCCTTGCCCTGCTGCTGCTGGGACAGCACCGCCACCGCTCCCGCTCGCCCGGGGGTCGCCGCCCGCGGGTTTCGGCGTTCTACGTGTTGGTCACAGCGCTGGCGGTCACCGACCTGCTGGGCAAGTGCCTGATCAGCCCCATGGTGCTGGCAGCCTACGCCTACAACCGCAGCCTCAGCCAGCTGGGGCCGGGGCACCGCGGCGAGGAGCAGCCGGGGATGCTCTGCCAGCTCTTCGCCTTCCTCATGGCTTTCTTCGGGCTGGCCCCCACGCTGCTGCTGCTGGCCATGGCTTTGGAGTGTTGGCTTTCTTTGGGTCACCCCTACTTCTACCGGCGACACCTGACCCGCCGCTTGGGTGCCACGCTGGGGCCGGCGGCTGCCGGGCTGTGCGCGCTGTTCTGCGCCCTGCCCCTGCTGGGTTTTGGGGCTCCCATGCAGTACTGCCCGGGCACATGGTGCTTTATCCGCATGGCCGGTGGTGGTCCCGGCCAGCTGGGCTTCCCCGTGCTCTACGCCAGCCTGATGGGGTTGTTGGTGTTGGCTATCGTGGCTTGCAACGTGAGCAGCATGCGGCACCTGTATGGCATGGCCCGAAGGCAGCCCCGCCGGGGGACCCCCCCCGCCACCGCCCCACGCATGGAGGAGCTCGATCACCTCGTCCTGCTGGGGCTGATGACCGTCCTCTTCACCGTCTGCTCCCTGCCGCTCATCGTGAGTAACGCCAGCGCCCCCCCGGCTCCGGGAAAATCCCCCTGCCCCTGGGAAGGGGGTGGTTGCTTTGACCCCCCTCAAATATCCATCACCCCACACCCCAAAGGTTGGGCATTGCATTAATCCGTTTGGAAAAATATCCTTTCTTAGCACCATCTCCTCACTGGGGGGTTGGATTGATGGTTTGGCCCCCTTGAAATAGTCCCCCACTCTGTCCATGGGGTCATGCACCCCGGGATATCCCCCCCAGCAGCCCCTGCCCCTGGGTGGTTGCTTTGACCCCCCTCAAATATTCATCACCCCACACCCCAAAGGTTGGTAGTTGCATTAATCCGTTTGGAAAAATATCTTTCTTAGCACCATCTCCTCACTGGGGGGTTGGATTGATGGTTTGACCCCCTTGAAATAGTTCCACACTCTGTCCATGGGGTCAGGCACCCTGGGATATCCCCCCCAGCAGCCCCTGCCCCTGGGTGGATGCTTCAACCCCCCTCAAATATCCATCACCCCACACCCCAAAGGTTGGTAGTTGCATTAATCAGTTTGGAAAAATATCCTTTCTTAGCACCATCTCCTCACTGGGGGGTTGGATTGATGGTTTGGGATGGTCCCTGACCCTGTCCATGGGGGTCAGGCCGCTGTTACAGCACCCTGGAATATCCCCCCCACCAGCACCACTCGGTCCTGGAGGGGTCAGAGCACTGATTTTGGGATAAACCCTGACACCACCACCAGCCCCGAGGAGCCAAGGCTTTGTCTCCTTCTAAATCCTCCCCCACTCTGCCCACAGGGACCAGATCATTGCTTAAAACTCCTTGGAATAATCCCCCCCACCCCCCCACCCCCCACTCCCAGGGGTCAGGGGGTGTTTAGGCCCCTCAAAATAAACTCTGGAACCAGCACCCACTCCTGGAGGTGCCAGGGGGATCATTGTTTTAGTCCCTTGTGAGTAACCCACCCCTGCCACCCTCTAGGATCCTCTCCAAGGGTCAGGTTGTTACTTTAATCCCCTTGGAATAAGTCTCCCCTTGGCTCCACTATTCCGTTCTGGGAGGTTGCCCACCCTCAACACGAGCACCACATCCCCAGTCTCCTCAATTTATTTAAATTAATTAAATAAATTAAATGTATTTAATCATAAATACATAAATAAATTTTAATTAAAGGTTATTCTTTAACCCTCATGGAATAGCCCCCCAGCACCATCACTCTGTTCCCCTTTGTTCCCCTTCTGAGTGTCTCCCACCCCATCCCAGGGATCTGAGTGTTGCTTTAACCCCCATGGAATAATGTCCAACATGGGATGGGGAAATAAATTCATAGTTTGATCCTCCTGGAATAATCACAACAACCCCACCACCCTGGGGATTGATTTATTGCTCAAATTTCCTTGAAATATACTCCCACCCACCCCCTCACCCCTCTCTGTCCCATTCCCACCCCATCAAACCCTTCAAAATCCCCCATTCCCACTCCTATCAACCCTTCAAAATCCCCCATTCCTACATTTATCAGATTCTTCAAAAACTTTATTCCCACCTTTAGCAGACCCTTCAAAACTTCCATTCTTACATTTATCAGACCCTTCAAAACCCCCTATTCCCACCCCTATCAGATCCTTTAAAGCCCCCCATTCCCACCTCATCAGAACCTTCAAAACCCCCATTCCCACCCCTATCAGACCCTTTAAAGCTCCCCATTCCCACACTTATCAGACTCTTCAAAACCCCCTATTCCCACCCCATCAGATCCTTTAAATCTCCCCATTCCCACCCCATCAGACCCTTCCAATTCCCCCATTCCTACATGTATCAGACTCTTCAGAACCTTCTATTCCCACCCCTATCAGACCCATTAAAGCCCCCCATTCCCACCCCATGGCCCAAAGCTGCTGGGCAGCTCCAGCTCCCTGTGAACCCCAGTGAGTGATGCCCCGAAATCCTCTCACTTCTCCCCCAGGGGGGAGCTTTGCTGTCCCCTTTGTCCCCCATTCCTGGGTCGGATCCCGCAGTTCCACCTTTCCATCCCCTCTGCAGGCAGAGCCCGGGTTACCCCAAAATCAGGGTGGGGGGTGTGCATGGGTGCTGCCACTGCCTTTGGTGACAATTTCCACATCCTCTTCCTGTCACCTCTGGAAGCACACCATGAGGTACCAGCCAGCAGCAGCCCTGGCACAGCCATGGGTTTGGTGACCACCCCAGGATGATTTCCTGCTGAGTTATCCCATGGATGCCAGCTCTGACTCCTGTGGCAAGGGGCTCAGCACCAGTGGGTGCCCCAGCCTTGGGGACAGAGCAGCACCCGCCAAGGTTGGGTGATTCCTTCATCTATTTAAAAATCCTGATCACTGGGACCACATTTCCAGCTCTAACATCCTTGTTTTGACGTGCTACCCTGAGCCACGACCATCCATGATCCACCCAAATCCCAGCTGGATCCACAACCCAGAGCACACCTTGATGCCACCATGGCGATGCTGAGGGGTTCAAACCAAGACCTCCCTTAATCCCCCCCTATTTCCTTGACCTTCTCTAACTATCTGCCATTTCTTGGATATTTTTTTGGCCAGATCCGGGCTTATATGGGCGCTTTTGCCGCTGACTTCAACGAGAACGCCGACCTGAGCGCGCTGCGCTTCCTCTCCGTCAACTCCATCGTTGACCCTTGGGTCTTCATCATCTTCCGCACCTCCGTCTTCCGCGCCTTCGTGCGCCGCGTCTGCTGCCGGCTGGGCTCCCGCCGGGCCTCCCTGAAGGGCTCCAGCCCCTCTGGTGACAGCCACTTCTGTCCCCCGGGCTGGCAGGCAGGGACAGATCCGCCCCGCCTCGGCACCCCCTGAGCTGCGCAAGCCGGCGGCTGCCGGCGAGGATGAGGAGCGAGCCTTCGGCCCCGCATCCCTGCCCCTGGAGCATCCCGAGGTGGCACAGGGTGGTGGCAATCGGGGACAGCGTCCAGCTCGCTGTGAGGGACGCTGAGGAGGGGTTCTGTCCCCTCCCCAGGCTGCGTTTTGCCCCGGAGAGGATGTGGGATCGGCGGGGATTTGGGAATATGGTGAGCACTGCCTGGCTGTGGGAAGGCAGGAGGGCTCAGTGCGTGGCTGGGGACACCCAGGGAGGAGGAGAAGTCCGGGTGTGTCCCCATGGAATAAAAGTGGATCAGAGTTTCATCACCTGTGCGTGATCCCATCCCATGCCAAGGAATGGGTTTGGGGTGTCCCAGACTGGGTGAGGGACTCAGAAGTTCCAGCAGCAATTCCTGGTGGGAGGAGGAGCTGGATGTCCCTGGCACACCCTCCACCCCTGCCCAGGATCTTCCCTGTGGTTTGTGGTTTGTCAACCCTTATCTCGCTCTTCTCTGGGAAACTCCGAGCGCTGATGTTGCATTTGTGCTCCTCAGCCGTACCTGTTGTGCTGTAATTATCTAAATTCAGTATTTATGACTGTCCTGAGCCTTAATGAGGGCAGTAATTGAGAGAACACAGAGCCTGGCATGCAAGAGAGCGATCCTTTTAATGGAAGATCCATTTCCTCTCAACCACAGGTATTAACTGGATCTAATTTTTGCCTTAAGTGACCATTTAGGCCAAAAAAATGACGATGACCAACTGTTTAGTGCCCTTGGAGGAGACAGGGTATTTCTCTCCTCTGTTTAGCTAAGCCCTGCAAGGTGCAGCCGTGTTCCTGCCGCTCTCACGTGATGTTTGCTCTCAGTGTCAAACAGATTCTGCTTTTGAAGGAACAATATCTTGGAGCTTTTTGGAGGTGACTCGCTGGGGTTGGCTCTGGTTGTTTCTCCCAGCTGGAGAAAAAGGCAGAGCTGTGTTTGGGAATGTTTTGGGGGCACCTGTGAGCTGCCAGCTCAGTTCCACTCGGGGTTTTTCCGAGGAGAAAGAAGGAAATGAGGGTTGGTTCATGGATTGGTTTCATGTTACTGGCATGGTATCGACCTGGAGATGGCTCACGTGGGGCTGCAGAGTCAACAGCTCCAAAGCCTGCTCCGTGGCTTTCCTGGGATCTGTTCCACCGCAGCCGGATGAGATAACGGCCCTGGAAAACTTTGTGGTTGTCCCCCCTAAACTGGGATCTCCTGCCCCAAACATCCGTGCTCCGCTCGGGACAGACGGAGCAGGCACGGTCAGGCTGGGAGGGTTTGGTGCTGCAGAATCACGGGATGATCACTGAGGTGGGATAAGATTTCCAAGGTCATGGATGGATTCAGCATTAGAATGAGCTGAGGGCACGCTGGGTGTGCAGGGCATCATCTCATCTGCCCGTGGTGCCTGGGAGATCCACTCCTGGAGAGGTCCTACCCCAGGAAAGGTCCCTGCCCCAGGAAAGGTTCTTGCTCCAGGAAAGATCTCTGCCCCAAGAGAGATCCCTGGCCCAGGGAAGGTTCCTGCCCCAGGAGAGATCCCTGCCCCAGGAGAATCCTTGGTCCAGGAGAGATCCCTGCCCCAGGAAAGGTCCCTGCCCCAGGAGAGATCCCTGCCCCAGGAAAGGTCCCTGCCCCAGGAAAGATTCCTGCTCCAGGAGAGATCCCTGGTCCAGGAGAATCCCTGCCCCAGGAAAGGTCCCTGCCCCAGGAGAGATCCCTGCCCCAGGAAAGATCTCTGCCCCAGGAGAGATCCCTGCCCCAGGGAAGGTCCCTGCTCCAGGAAAGGTCCCTGCCCCAGGAGAGATCCCTGCCCCAGGAAAGGTTCCTGCCCCAGGAAAGATTCCTGCTCCAGGAGAGATCCCTGGTCTAGGAGAGATCCCTGCCCCAGGAAAGATTCCTGCCCCAGGAGAGATCCTGGGCCCAGGAAAGGTCCCTGCCCCAGGAGAGATCCCTGATCCAGGAGAGATTCCTGCCCCAGGAAAGGTCCCTGCCCCAGGAAAGGTCCCTGCCCCAGGAAAGGTCCCTGCCCCAGGAAAGGTCCCTGCCCCAGGAGAATCCCTGTTCCAGGAGAATCCCTGCCCCAGGAGAGATCCCTGGCCCAGGGAAGGTCCCTGCTCCAAGAGAGATCCCTGCCCCAGGAGAGGTCCCTGCCCCAGGAAAGGTCCCTGCCCCAGGAGAGATCCCTGCTCCAGGAGAGGTCCCTGCTCCAGGAGAGATCCCTGCCCCAGGAGAGGTCCCTGCCCCAGGAAAGGTCCCTGCCCCAGGAGAATCCCTGCCCCAGGAAAGGTCCCTGGTCCAGGAAAGGTCCCTGCTCCAAGAGAGATCCCTGCCCCAGGAAAGGTCCCTGCCCAGGGAAGGTCCCTGCTCCAGGAAAGGTCCCTGCCCCAGGAAAGGTCCCTGCCCCAGGAGAGATCCCTGCCCCAGGAAAGGTCCCTGCCCCAGGAGAGGTCCTTGGTCCAGGGAAGGTTTTTGCTCCAGGAAAGATCCCTGCCCCAGGAGAGGTCCCTGCCCCAGGAGAATCCCTGCCCCAGGAGAATCCCTGCCCCAGGAGAATCCCTGCCCCAGGAGAATCCCTGCCCCAGGAAAGGTCCCTGCCCCGTGCTCTGTGTGTTTAGATCCCAGGGTAACCACCATCCATGGAAATCAGCAATTAAACCAACACAAACCAAACCAGGTTCTTTATTAAGGTGCAAAACCAGACTGCCCCTGAGCCCCAAGAGGACACAAACACCACATCACTGACCCACCCGTGATTTTATCACCTCAGGAAATGAACCACAGAGTCACGAGTGACCTCCCCACCCCATCCCTGTGACCTTGACACGCTGGCCTGGCTTGGGCAGCACTTTTAATCGGGATTCTGCCCTTCCTGCTCCCTTACCTGCCGTGGGAGCAGACTGGGAGTCTCCAGCTGAGGTTGGGACTTGGTTTGGAGCCAGGGCACCCTCCAGGAGGATAAATCCTCACTCCCAGCCTGGGCTGCCGTGTCCCTGTCCTCGCCAGAGATGGCAGCACGTCCCCAGCCAGGCCGGGTCCCCAGCATGAGGAGCCCAAGGATGTTCTCCACCCCAAACTGCTCCTTTTTCACCCCATTTCTCACTGCCTCAGCACGTACACTTTGGGGCTTCAAGGAGTTTTGTCTTACTGAGCCTGGGAAAGATCGAACTAAAAGGGAAAGAAAATATAAATTAAATAAGGATTGAATGCAAAACAAATCCTGACAATGAGTGGGATGGATGTAAATTCTGCCAAATAGGGACCAGAAAAGTCGAGGAGCTCTGGCTGAGGAGGGGAGAGCTGCTGTGGAGCCCCCCCCTGCCCATATCCCCCCACCCCCAGGCTCCTCCAGTGCTCGGTCATCCCCCCGGGGACCCCTCGGTGCCAGCCCTTCCCCAAGGGACGGGCCTGATGCTTAATGGAGGCAATAAAGAAATGCTGCTCAGCTCAGGGCTGCAGCTCCACGCCAGTGATGCTCTTTTGGGGGCTGTTTTATGTTCCTGTCACCCTCCAGCACTGCCAGCTGCCCCCTCCCACGCTGTCACTGCTGCCACCAGCGTCACCTCTCCCTCATCCTGCTCCTTTCCTGCACATAAATCACCCTCAGGGTGAATATTTTAGTTGGTTTTTTTTTCCCAGCTCACAAAATCCAGCCACAACTTTGCTCAAGCTCATTTCCCGACAAATTGTTTCGCTCTTGCAAAGATCCCTTTTTTTAATTTATTTTTTATTGCCTGCCTGCATTTTTCAGCTGTTCTGCAAGCAGGGAGGCACGTGCCTGGGCAGGCAGCCGTGCCAGGGCTGCCAGGAGCCCCAGCCTGCCCAGGAGTGCCTCAGTTTATTTTTTAACCCCTGCACCCAGGTACAGGATAACAACACAAGGCACCAAAACCTGGCCCAGCGCTCAGCCCTGCTTGCCCAGGATGGGCAGTGAGGCTGCTGGAAGCTCTGGAACATGAGATAAGGGGTGGGAAGGCTTTGGAAGAGAAGTTTAAACATGAGTCAGGATGGGGGGTTGGTTAAAAAAGGATGAAATCCACTCCCCATAAACAGGAGGGCTGGACTCCTCCATGTCCCTGGTGCCAGAGCCATCCTTTAAAATCCACCAGGGATGGAGCAGGATCCCAACACCCTCCCCAAGCACAGGCAGCAAACTCCAGAGGGTGAGAGCTCTGTGTGGAGCTCATGAAACTTTCCTACAAGCCCAGAGTCTTCTTTTAGGGAAAACAGTGCCAACAAACCTTGAGAGGATGCATGAGGTGCTGGAGTGTGTCTAGGGAAGGGAACAGAGCTGGGAAGGGGCTGGAGAGTTCCTGAGGGAGATGGGAAGGGGCTGGAGAATCCCTAAGGGAGCTGGGAAGGGGCTGGAGAGTTCCTGAGGGAGCTGGGAAGGGGATGGAGAACTCCTGAGGGAGATGGGAAGGGGATGGAGAACTCCTGAGGGAGATGGGAAGGGGCTGAGCCTGGAGAAAAGGAGGCTCAGGGGGGACCTTGTGGCTCTGCACAGCTCCTGCCAGGAGGGGACAGCCAGGTCGGGCTCTGCTCCAGGGAACAGGGACAGGACGAGAAGAAATGAGCCCAAATTGCACCAGGAGAGGTTTAGATTGGATATTTGAGAAAATTTCTCTGCACAGGGCAGTGGTGGAGTCCCCATCCCTGGAGGGATTTAAAAACCTTGAGGATGTGGCACTTGGGGACACGGGTCAGTGGTGGCCTTGGCAGTGCTGGGACAATGGTTGAACTCGATGTCTTAGAGGACTTTTCCGATTTAAATAATTGTAGGATTTGATATGGCCCTCGCTAGAGGCAGGCCACGAGCTAAACATGGAAGCAACGGGAAGAAAACAAACACTTCCCAAGGCAGGACAGATTGTACCAGGCAGCCTGTTCCTGCTTTCCAGCACAGAGGGGGGAATGAAAAAACAAAAGGCCAGCAATTTTCCTATTATTGCAGAAAAATCCCATCAGAGACAACTGTCAGTGGAGCAGCCTGAAGCCCCAGAAGGGTATTTAAGGCTCCATTAGCTGCCAGGAAAATGAGAAGAAGCCAAAAGCCCTTCCTGAGTGTGACAAGGAGCGCCAGAAAGGAGTGGGAGGCTGGGAAAAGCCTCGGAGCACCCTACAGGGTTCCTGCTGCTGGGAAAAGGGCTCTGGGTGGGCAGAGTGCAGCTGCCTGCATGGATCAGGCAGGATCCAGCCTCAGCTGAATTTGGGGGAGGCACAAAGAGGGCTGAACGAGGGGCATGGTGCCATCTGAGCCTCTGGAATCAACCAGGATGGTTCCCACCAGCACCGTGTGCTTGGGTGCTCTGCTGGATCAGGAAGGGTTGAAAATGTATTTTCCTGACCCACCTGTGGTGAGGTGGTTTGGGACAGCAACGACACCATCCCCTCCATCCCACCCATTGATCTGGACATGGGAAGAGGTTTTTGAGCTGTGTGAGAGGAGAAAGCAAAGGCAGGCCTGGGAGTGGCCCCTGAGAAATGGAGGTGCTGTACAAACCACAGCTCACCCAACCCTCCAGTTTGCCGTGCCCCACATTTCCTCTGCCAAGTTCCTGTTACAAAAGCGTGGTTTTTAAAAAGTTCCTGTTCCAAACGCGTGGTTTTTAAAATAACAGCCAAGGCCACTGCTGTGTCCCTGCTGGAGTCACCCACCCCTGCTGCGGTGTTGCAGCGAGGTGCAAAGGAGTAAATTCAAAATTAAATTATTGCAGCTGTTGCGACAGCCCCAGGGCCTCGGGAGGTAAAATATTTTTTATTCTGTGAACTTAAATAAAGGCAGCTTGAGTGACAGCTGGTGTCCTGAAGGATGGAGGGAGCATCTGAAGCTGCTGGGATGGAGCTTGTGGACTTCCCACCCCTGGGTGTGTTCCAGGCTGGATGAAGTTTGGAGCAGCCTGCTGGCACAGGGTGGGACCGGATGGGCTTTAAGGTCATGGCCAGAGAGCTGCACCCCCTTGGGGACCTCTGATGACACGTGGGAGAGGGGGACAGTGGGGACATGGCAGGGAACTGTCCGTGGGTTCCTCTGGAGCAATGGGAATTCCCTGCACAGCCTGGGCTCAGCCAGACCCCGGGCTCGGGGGGGATTTGGGGTTCTGGAGCGGCACCGGGGCTCCTGCACCGGCACCGGGGCCGATCGTAAGAGGCGCTCCCGGTGGGACAGTGGGGCTGGGTGTCCCGGAGCCGGGGCTGGGTCACACCGGGGGCTGTGCCAGCGATCCCGGGCAGCCCTCCCGGCCCGGCACTGGGGCTCCTGGAACGCACCGGGACCGGCCGTGTCCGGGGCTTCCACACCGGTACCGGGACCGGCCGTGTCCGGGGCTCTCACACCGGTACCGGGACTCTCACACCGGTACCGGGACTCTCAGATCCGCACCGGGACCCTCAGACCCGCACCGGGACCGGCCGTGTCCGAGACTCTCACACCGGTACCGGGACTCTCAGATCCGCACCGGGACCGGCCGTGTCCGGGGCTCCCACACCGGTACCGGGACTCTCGGTCCGGCCAGGGTCGGTCCGTGCGCGTTCGCCGCCTCCGCTCCGTCCATCCCCGTGAGCGCAGTGCCGGGGGGGCCCGGGGCGGTACCGGGGGGGCCCGGGGCGGTACCGGGGGGGCCCGGGGCGGTACCGGGGGGCCCCGGGGCGGTGCCGGGGGGCCCGGGGCGGTACCGGGGGGGTCCGGGGCGGTACCGGGGGGGCCCGGGGCGGTACCGGGGGGAGCCCGGGGCGGTGCCGGGGGGGGCCCGGGGCGGTGCCGTCGGGGCGGGCGGTGCCGGTGCCGGTGCCGGGGGCGGTGGCGGTGGCTCAGTCGGGCGTGCGGCGGCGGCGGCGCGGGATGAACGGGACGGTCCGGGCTCACGGGAGCACCGGGGCAGCGCTGCCGGCCGGGGCTCGCCCTCTGGTCAGTGCCCTGATGTTCTCGGCCGGGCTCCTGGGCAACCTCCTGGCGCTGGGGCTGCTCCTGCGGGGCCGCCGCGGGCCCCGGCAGCGCCCGCCCGCGCTGTTCCACGTCCTGGTGCTGGCCCTGGTGCTCACCGACCTGCTGGGCACCTGCTCCGTCAGCCCCTTGGTGCTCGCTTCCTACCACCGCAACCTCACCCTCACCAGCCTGGCCCGCGGTGGCCACATCTGCCTCTACTTCGGCTTCGCCATGAGCTTCTTCGGCCTCGCCACCATGCTCATCCTCTTCACCATGGCGCTGGAGCGCTGCCTGGCCTTGGGGCGACCCTACTTCTACGAGCGCTTCCTGAGCCCCCGCACGGGGCTGGTGGCCCTGCCGGCCATCTACACCTTCTCGGCCGCCTTCTGCTCGCTGCCGCTGCTGGGCTTCGGGCGCTACGTCCAGTACTGCCCCGGCACCTGGTGCTTCATCCAGATGCACCTGGAGCCGCAGCAGAGCGACGGGCAGGTGGCGGGGATGAATGTCACCTTCTCGCTCCTCTACGCCACCCTGCTCCTCTTCCTCATCCTCGCCGTGCTGCTCTGCAACCTGAGCGTCATCGTGAACCTGGCCCGCATGCACCGCCGCGGGCAGAGGACGCGCAGGGTGGGCACCCCCGAGCAGCCCGGCTGTGCTCGGCGCATGTTCTCCATGGCCGAGGAGATCGACCACCTCCTGCTGCTCTCCATCATGACCATCACCTTCGTCATCTGCTCCCTGCCCTTCACGGTGAGTGTCACTGGCTGTCCCCTCGCCCCAGCAGCCACAGGTCTGGCCTGGCCTTTGTAAAGCTTCGCCCGGCTCTGGAGGGTTGAGGTGAAAGTTTGGGAGAGGCCAGCTCAGACATGAGCTTGGTAATTTGTGCATCAGATGGGGAGTGGGGGAATCACTCCCCAGGTCCCCAGGGCCAGGAGGAGGATGGGGTGGCAGGATTATGGGGGCAGGAGGATGACATGCCAGGAGGATGGGGTGGCAGGAGGATGGGATGGCAGGAGGATGGAGTGGCAGGAGGATGGAATGGCAGGAGCATGGAATGGCAGGATGGGGTGGCAGGAGCATGGAATGGCGGGAGAATGGGATGGCAGGAGCATGGAATGGCGGGAGAATGGGATGGCAGGAGGATGGGGTGGCAGGATGGGATGGCAGGATGGGGTGGCAGGAGCATGGAATAGCAGGAGAATGGGGTGGCAGGAGAATGGGATGGCAGGAGGATGGTTGGACAACAGAATGGTCTGACAGCAGAATGGGGTGGCAGGAGAATGGGGTGGCAGGAGGATGGAATGTCAGGAGGATGGAATGGCAGGAGCATGGAATGGCAGGATGGGGTGGCAGGAGGATGGAGTGGCAGGAGGATGGAGTGGCAGGAGGATGGTCTGACAGCAGAATGGTCTGACAGCAGAATGGGGTGGCAGGAGAATGGGGTGGCAGGAGGATGGTCTGACAACAGAATGGTCGAATGGTCTGACAACAGAATGGTCTGACAGCAGAATGGGGTGGCAGGAGAATGGGGTGGCAGGAGGATGGGGTGGCAGGAGCAGAGTGCCCTCCCACCCCACAGAGGCTCTGAGGCCAGGCTGTGTGGCTCAGGCAGGGACAGCCTGGGGGTCTCCTGGAGCTCACAGCATCACTGCGATTCCCACCATCCAGGAACTCATGGTGGAGGGTGAGGGATGGCAAAACAACCAACCACACTTGTAGAGGTGGGATGAAGGAGCTGCCCTGGGCTGGAGGCAGTGGATATCCATGCTGGGTGGGATGAGTTATCCCAGATTTTTGTGGATAGAGCTGGAGACATGGGAGGCTGCACTCACCTCGCTGTTAGAGGTTTCTGCTCCTCTGCAGCAGCACTGAGGCGCTGGCACAGAGATGGGAGATTTCTGGGAAGAGAGATCTGGCACAGCGGCCATAGCACGTGCCATCCCAAGGGACATCCCCACATCCCGTGCCCCATCCATGCACGAGGCTTCCAGCAGAAATCTGGCATCAAAACAGCCAAGTGAAGGAGTGGAGAGAGCAAGTGCCCTGCCTCTGTCTGGGCTCTCCCCTCCCAAGGACCACTTTTCATCCATCCAAGTGCTTTTCCACCAGGAGCATCGATGGGTCTGGGTGTGTGAGCCCCCCAGTGCTGGAGGTCCCCGAAGAAGTGACCCCACCAAGGCTGGGAGCACAACCAGTGCTAATTTCATGCTCTTGGTGTTAAATAGACTCTACCTTCCCTTCCTGCTCCCTTGCTTTTCCTAAGGGAAAAGGAAATAACCACAGGATACGTCCGAGCCAGGCATTTAGCACAAAGGAATAATGTTCAGATGTTTGTGAGCATCCCAGGAGCCTCAATGCCCTGAGAGACTCTCCAGCTCCTGACCTTGAACCCACACATGATGGACGCTCTTCCCATGTCCCAAAAACGCCCCGGGCTGGCTGCTGTGGTCAGTAGGAAGCGGAACCCCTCGGTGGGGACACGTGGGCAGGGCCCTGTGAGCGTGCTGGGGGCAGAGGGGCTGGGAAAGAGGCCCTGGCTGGGATCCCATGGGCCCTGTGGTGGCAGATACGGCCTTATCCAGAGCCAGCTTCCCTTTTCCCATCGCCCCGCTCCCATGTGGGGCCGCGCTTTGGCAGCGGCTCAAACCCGGCTGCCTCTTTGGGGTGACACTTTCTCTCCTGTCCTCAGCTGCCCACAGCAACCACTGCTCCTCCCAGGAGGAACCCAAGCACACAAACCCATCGGGCCACGAATTCCTTCCCAAAACACACCAGCCTTGGCAGCGCCGAGCGCCGCGGCTGCGCCAACCCGGGCTGGTACCCGGTGGATCCCAGCAAGGGAGGGATGCTCCAGCTGCTCCAGCCCCATCCCAGCATCTCCCCAGCCCCGAGTGAGGGGGTGGGAGTGACCCGGGTGAGTCAGGAGTGCTGAGTCACCCTTCCAGGAAGCCCCACGGGCTGCGATGAGTCGGCAGCCGCGGGAAGGACGCGCCAGGTCCAGCAGCGCTCATCCTCTCCCACGGTTGTTGCTCCCCTGTGGTCTCCAGGTGGGAGCCACCACTTCCTCCAGCAGCCACGGGTGGGACTGTGGCTCTGAGCAAAGTGGGGCTGGCTTTCATTTCTAGTTCATTTAAACCCACGCAGTCAGCAAATTTGCTGTGATGGTTCAAATCGCCCCAAAAGAGCTGCCTGGGGGACAGATTTTGGGAGACCAGGTTTGGAATTATTTCTCCCTGTGATTTCTCTGTGAGACCTCACAGTGCTCAGATCTGGGGGGCTTCCAGAACAGGAAAGACCTGGAACTGTTGGAGTGAGTCCAGAGGAGGCACCAAGTTGGTTAAAGGGATGGAGCAGCTCTGCTGTGAGTAAAGGCTGGGAGAATTGGGGTTGTTCACCCTGGAAAAGAGTCAATTTGGGGTCACCTAATTATGACCTTCCAGTACTTGAAAGGAACTATAGGGAAGATGGAGAGACTCCTTACAAAGGCCTGGAGTGACAGGATAAAGGGGAAATGGATTCAAACTGACAGAGATGAGGTTTAGATGGGATATCAGGAAAAAATTATTTCTTGTGAGAGTGGTGAGGCCCTGATTCAGGTTTTCCAGAGAATATGTGGCTGGAAGGGTTCCAGACCAGGTTGGATGTACCTCCTCCAAGAAGCAACTGACAGAACCAGAGCACAGAGTCTCCAGCTGTACCAAGGGAAATTTAGGTTGGATATTAGGAAAAAGATTTTACTGAAGGAGTGATAAAGCTCTGGAATGTTCTACCAGGGGAGGTGGTGGAGTCCCCATCCCTGGGTGTGTTTAACAAAGCCTGGATGTGGCACTGGGTGCCAGGGTTGAGTTGAGGTGTTGGGGGTGGGTTGGACTCGATGATGTTGAAGGGCTCTTCCAACCTCATGATTCTGTGAATTCTGTGGAGTCTGTGAAGTCTGTGAAGTCTGTGGAGTCTGTGAATTCTGTGGAGTCCGTGAAGTTTGTGAAGTCTGTGAATTCTGTAAATTCCATGAATTCCATGAATGGATGGGGCTTGGCTGAATGGTGCGATAGCGCAATGCCGGGGTGGGGGAGCGCGGAACGAGGTGATCTCAATCTCCTTTCCAACCTTGGCTCGGCAGATCCGCGCCTACGTGAACAAATTCAGGCAGGAGGAGGATGGCCACGAGCTGGACCTGCTGGCCCTGCGTTTCCTCTCCATCAACTCCATCGTGGATCCATGGGTCTTCGCCATCCTGCGGCCGCCGGTGCTGCGCCTCATGCGCTCGGCGCTCTGCTGCCGGGTGCCACCCGCGGCCCCGGACAGCCGGACGGTGTCCTCGGCCGGGACAAAGCTGGCGGCACGGCCGGAGCTCTGTGGGCAGTAGATCCAGGAGATCCCAGCCTCCCGATGGGCGATGAGGAAGCTCTGCCTTCGGCCTCACGCCGCAGCCCGGCCCACGTTGGGGTGGCTCAGGGATGTCACCGCGGCCTCTCGCAGGGATGAGGTTGGAAGGGTTGGTGAGTCCCTGCAGTGCTGCTGTCGCCCTCAGGGCTGGAGAAGGGCTCACCCCACCCTGCTGGGGGTGAAGTTTGGGGGGTTTTGTTGTAACCCCACGGTTTGGGGGGTGTTGGGAAGCAGAGATTCCTGTTGGTGTGCTTCCCAGCAAGGTCTCTGTGGGTTTTTTGGGATGCAGGCAGGGCTGCAGCTCCTGGAGATGGGCTGCAAACACCCATCTGGGCCCCCAGATCTGTAGGGATTGGGAAGGAGAGGAAGGGAGCAGTGTATCCTCAAAATTTCCCCCTTTTTTTAGGCTGGTTGCCTAAAGAAATGCACTTTTTTAGGGGCAGGTCTGTGTGCTCATGTCTGTCTGTGCCTCACCCCCGAGATTTTAGGCACTGGTGGGTCCCTGAGGGGCACCAAAGTACTAAAAAAGCCAAACTTTGGAACTTCCCTGGCACTGCAGCCCCTCCTCAGCACCCATTTGGAAATTCGCTTTGCCCCGTGATTTTTGCAAGAGCCAACAAAAAGAACAAAGAGCCTGACCAGGGACTGGTCACAGCCATGAGCTTCACCCACATCCAGGGTGGTGCTGCTGGTGGGGTTTGGGTTTGTCCTTGATTGGGACAAATATTTATTTAAAATAAACCCTCCAAAAATCAATAAAAGCAAAAAAACAACTGCAAAACCATCCAGGTCATCAACCCTGCCCCGTTGGGCAGCATCCTTCAACACCACTATTTTGTTTTCTGGGATTCCTCCTGCTCTTTGGGACTCCAGGATCGTTCCCACAGGGATGAGGAGCATCCAACTCCACATCCCAAGGCCACCACTGCCATTAGGGATGTTCTTGTGGCTCCCATTTGAGCAGCATCCAACACACCCAGTGGCATTTGTGCAATTCCCAGTGTGGAGTCTCATTTGGGAGCTGCAGCTCTGCTCAGGGAGCCCAAAGGTGCCGAGATTTGGGGCTTTTCCGTGGTTTGTGAGTCGAGGTGATGTGTAAAAAAAAATAATAATTATTATTTAAATAATAAATGTCTCTCAAAGGAGCCTGCTGAATCATGTGTGGGTTTGTGCTTGTGATGCTCCTCAGGGTAGATCTGGCTCCTGGAGGAAATGTGTTGGATGTGGGATGAAACCACGGGAATGGGGGGAGAGGGCAGCAGGAGAGGCTGACAGGGGGAAATGGGTGCCTCTAATTTCCTAAGAAGTGGCAATAAACTGTGTTTTACAGATGTAGAATGACATTTCTTACTGGAGCTACAGAATTCCCCCCTCCATCTCTGAGCTCTTCCCTAAAACCTGCCTATCCCACAGCCAGGGAGAGGCAGGCAAAGCTCCCACCTGCTATCAAAACACCACCCCAAAAATACCCACCCTAAAAAAAGGCAAAATTGAGGTCACTTCTGTCAGGCAGCCAACGTCCACAGGAAGTTTCCTGGCCTCCCAAATGCGTGTGGGCAGATGTCAGGCAGGGGCTGCTCTTGCTCAAATGAGTTTTTGGCAGCACCCTGTAGCTGAGGGGCTGTGGAATTTTAGGGATAGGGTTTCCAGATGTGCCTGCCCATGGGGGTGAAGCTGGGGTGCTCCCCACACCCATGGAATGGCATTAATCCTGGTGCCAACCTTGGGAACCCAAATTTGGCACCATCCCACCCAGCACTTGGAAGGCACAGTTGTCCCTTCCCAAATTATTCCCTCATCCATGCACACAGCAGGAGGAAAAGCACATTCTGGGCTCAGTTTTGGGGCTCTCAGCACGTCTCAGGGTGTGCTCAGCTGGAAAAAGAGCCAAAAACTTTAGGAAGAGCCTTGGGTCCTTGAGCTTTATTTATCTGGATGGTCATGCCCTGGTTGCTCACGCTGGAATTTCAGGACCAGTTGCCTAATTCTGCTCTAAGCCAGAGGGAATAGCTGCCTGGTGTGCAAAAGATAGAAAGAATTTTTTTTAAAAAAATGGGAAAAATGTTGGAAATGGCAAGGAGGTCGCATCCTGCAGGGACCAGCGTGCCAAGGAATGTGATGGGGTGGGAGGAGAGCCCAGCAGGACCCGTGGCACAGGATTCTCCCAGAATCCAAGGATTCACCCCTTGCAACCCCCCAGCTCCTCTGCTGACCACTAATTAGCAGCTGCTTGTTTTTTTGGGTTTTTTTGGGAGGTTTCTGGCTCCTCATCAGGAAAGGCAGGGCTGGGAGAGAACATCCCAGCATCCATCCCCTGACCATCAGAACAGCAATCCTGGCAAGTGGGCTCAGGGAAATTATTTGGATCAAATTTGAATGCCAGAATAAAATGGAAATTACAAGGAGAGGAACCCCTTAAACCTGAGTCCCTTTGCCAGGAACATCCTGAGCTGCTGGCCAGGGATTACACCCAAGTTCTGGAATCAGAAAACTCCTCCTTTCCCTGCTTCCAAAGGAGAAAAGGGCTTTCAGCAGAGCTCTGTGAGAACAGGGAGGACAGTGAAGCTCTGCACCCTGAGCCATGAGCCTGCACAAAATGCTGCTTTTATTAATGTCACACAGGAGAAAAAGCAAATTAATTTGCCTCTCGTCAGCTCCCTCAGCGTCTGCTCAGCTCAAACACAAGATGAAAAAAGTTTCATTTCATTGTCTGTGCCGGCCCTTAATGACTTTTTTATTCCCACACCAGGAACCTGTTCCAGGCAGGTCTTTAATCCTGCATTTCCATCTGGGAATCTGCTGCTGGACAGGAGGGAGGGAGAAGCAATTCCTTGGAGACAACAGAGGGCATCAGCTGCCCCTCAGACTTCCCAAAGTAGTGAGACTTTCCACAGTGCCTGAGGGGATGCAGGGAGTGGGGATCTTGTCCAAATTCTGCCATAGAATCACGGAATGGTTTGGGATGGAAGGGATTTAAAGCTCATCCTGTCGGAATCTGTGGGTATTGATGATTCCCAGATTGTAAAAGTCTCTGTCTTTCTGCCCCGCTGCCAAAGCAGAAGCCATAATTGGTCTGTGCTGTTTCAAGGTTGTTTATTCTGTTTATCTCTAACATGTTCTGCTGCCCTGCCGCAGCTCTGTCCTGCAGGGCAGCGTGTGGGGCTCTGCCCTCAGTGGGATGGTACAAACATTAAATACCACAAACTACCTGTGCTGGATTTACAATAACGTGCCAATATCTGTCACCTACGTTGAACAGTGTGTCCCCAGCCTGAACCAACAGAAATATGCCAACACCACAGTGAAACATGGAGGGCATGAAGAAGGAGAAAAAGGACAAGACACACCCAATTTCCTCCATCTTGTCCCCTTTGGACCCCTAATCTAGAATCCTAAAATTTTACTTTTGCACCCGTGCCACACTTAATTATTACTCATATCAAACACTCAGAGCCTGTAATTCATCCTGTAAGATTGAAAACTCTTTTCCATGGACAGAGATCACAGACAGTGTCTCTGGGGGCTCTGTCCAGGGGGTTCCTGACCCCTGCCAGGGTCCCAGACCTGCCAGGGCAGCCAGAGGGAAGCTCTGGATTCCCACACATCCCATCCCACCCCTGCCAAGGGCAGGGACACCTCCCACCATCCCAGGTGGCTCCAAGCCCTGTCCAGCCTGGCCTTGGGCACTTCCAGGGATCCAGGGGCAGCCACAGCTGCTCTGGGCACCTGTGCCAGGGCCTCACCACCCTCACAAGGAAGAATTTCTTCCCAATATCCCACCTAACCTCTGCCAGTGGGAAGCCCCTTTAGTCTGGCACTTCAGCCCCTCTTAAATAATCCCTCTCCATTCCCAAATATATTTATATATTTATAATATATACTAACTAATATATAACTAACTAAATATACACTAACTAATATATACTAACTATTATGACTATATATGTTATAAATATATACTCACTAATAAATATATGCTAACTATATATGTACCCACTAAATATATATATTTATAACACACTAAAAAATATATATAAATATATACTAAAATAAATATATAGTAACTAAATATATGTATATTACTAATATATAAATAATATATATTATAAATATAAATCTATTGTAAATATGTAAATATAAAAATATAATAAATATTATTAGTATATATTAACTATATATATAATAAATATATAAATAATATATATTATAAATATAACTCTATTATAAGTATATAAATACAAATATATATCATCTATATTATAAATATATAAATATTTACTAACTATATATACCCACTAAATATAGTCCAGCACATCCCTCTGCTGCCCTGGCTGGCTCCAGACCTTGGCATGAAGTAAAAATCACCTGTGGCTTTGATTTTAGCCCATGGAAAAAACAGCCAAATTTGTGTGAGGAATTAGAAGCCACAAGGGTTTGAGTAATGTCATAGCTGAGTTAACACAGGGTGAAAAAGTGGAATTTTGGGGTTTTTAGAATGGGGTTGAGGGGGTACAAGATGAAGGGATTTGGGCATGTCCTGACCTTCTTCTCCTTCTCCTTGCCCTCCATGTCTTGCTGTGATGGTGACACTTTATTGGTTTAAGGCAGAGACTCAGTGTCCAACATAAATGACAGATATTGGCACAATATGGGCAGTTTTTGGTATAAAATGCAAACACCGCCCTGAGGGCAGACAGAATGCCATGGCCGAGCTGCTGGACAGAGCTCAGCAGGGCAGAGAAAGAATGTTCTAGATAAAGAAAAATAAACAGCCTTGAGAAGCTGATCCTGCACATTCAGACTCCTCCTCTGGCTGCAGGGCTGGAAATGAGGACTTTGACACTCTTGGGGTCATCCCAGCACCGCAGACCTGAGTCCCACAGGCTTTTCCAGAGGTTTGGAAAGGGCACCTCGTGTCCCTGTTTGCCAGCCTGAGGTGGGCAGCGTGCAGGGGACACTCCTGGGTGTCACCAGGGTTTCCCATGCAGAGCTGCTTTTTTTTTTTTTGAACTGGCTTTCCCTGGAATGTGCAAACATCCACGTCCATCAAATCCGCAGGGAAATGCCTCCCATCTGCTGCTCCCAAAGTGACCTAAATCTTCCAAAGAGAGAGACTAAACAGTGTCAAACTCACATGGAGCATCTGGATTTTATAGGGGCCATAAAAGCCTCGGGGCATCGTGGGGCGGGGTGGATCTCTCACCATCCTGCCCCCTGTGATGAATCTGTGACCTCTCCCAAAAAAACCCCACACTTTTGGGAAAAAGCAGGACCCCATCAGCAGCCTCATGTGAGGAGGAGAGAAAAGGTCTTGGGGTTACCAAGCAAGTCAGGCCATAAATCTTTGTGGGGTTTTATGTGCCAGGGCTGTGGCTGTGTTTTCGTTGTGGTTCCTGCTGGGCTGCCCTGGAGGCAGAAGGTGCCATTTTGTGGCTGGATTAAAAACTCTCAGAAAAACCACCTGGAAACCTCGTTTTTCTGAGCAGCTGGGTTGTGAGTGAGCTCCTGCCATAGTCAAAATTCCAGCACTCAGGTCTGGCACGTCCCATCCCTGGAAGTGTCCAAGGCCAGGTTGGACAGGGCTTGGAGCAGCCTGGGATAGTGGAAGGTGTCCCTGCCATGGCAGGGGTGGGATGGGTTGAGCTTCAGTATTCCTTTCAACCCAAACCATTCTGGGATTCTACGGTTGCTCTGCCTCAGTTTCCCCTCCCTGGTGCTGGAAATGGTGTTGGGAGAACCCCCCAGAGCTCCTTGAGCACATCACCTTCCCAAAAACCCATTCCAGCACCACTCTCCTCACCACCCTCCTCCCTCTGCACCTGATAAGCAGCACAGCGGTGGTTGGCAGAACTGGGGTGGATAAATCCACTGTGGATGCCTTTTATTGGGACCCCACAATCCCAAACACCGCAGCAGGGACGAGGTTTTATCAAGCTGCTCTTGTGGGGGCAGGAGGAAATGGTGAGGGCCAGCCCAGATGTGAAACATCAAAGCAGACAGAGTTTGGAACAGAGTTAAAAAGAAAAATCTCTGTTTACAAGAAGCTGTTCCAGGGCGGTTTGGAGCCTGTTTATCCCTGGACATTCGTGCTACCAGAGCTTTGGCCCCGCAGAGCAATGGGGTTTGTCATGGAGAGGGGATGTGT